ACATGTTTAACTACATGTACTAAACATGCAGTACTGAGACACGTTTAACTACATGTACTAAACATGCAGTACTTTATACATGTTTAACTACATGTACTAAACATGCAGTACTGAGACACGTTTAACTATATGTACTAAACATGCAGTACTGTATACATGTTTAACTATATGTACTAAACATGCAGTGGTTATAAATCTGAATATGCAGCATATATATATATGTATATATAGTTTGTTGTATCATGTTTTTAACAATTCAAACACTAGGAACGATGGATCCAAAAGATTTCTTGGCTGAGGCCCACATCATGAAGAAACTACGGCATCCTAAACTTGTTCAGTTGTATGCTGTATGCACTTTAGAGGAACCAATTTACATTATAACAGAACTCATGAAAAATGGAAGTCTATTAGAATACTTGCAAGGTGGGTATAACTCTCTTCATCGTATGTAAATACTGACTGGAGTAACACAATGCTTTAACTTAAGTCTCAAGATTGAAAATCTTATTTAATAGTTTTGAAGTACTAATGATAATGGCTCAGACTGTTTTAACAATATACAAAGTTAACAAAGCAAAAATATTAACAATTCCTGTAAGTTTGGTTTATACAGCCCATTGTATTTTAATAAATCACAAACAGTGTGTGCATGCATAGTTTGTTTTAATGAAAAACAAGGTTTATACACGTGACTAAGCACAACTGGATGTGTATATACTTCTGATAGTATTGCATTATCTTTTTAGCACGAACATTTTGGTTTAATGAGAAAATTTTGTGAATTAAGTTTATTCAGTATGTCAATACCCAGAATTTGAAGTCTCTAATTCGTTATACGACATACTCTATATTAAAATAATTTCTATCATTGAGATACTTATTGTTGATGTTGGATATTCAAGACTGTTTAGTGTAAGCATTATTATTTAATTTATTTTGTGAGTTAATATTTCATGATTGTTTAGTGTGTGTTTTTTTCATAACAACAGATTTAAAAGCATTTATTTTAAAGGTGATAGTTATGACCAGTTTGGTTATGTAACTCGGTAAGGGTCATACATTGTGTTTGCAATTCATTGATGTCAAAGCTATTGTATGTTGTGTTTACAATTCATTGATGTTGAGGCTACAGAAGTTTCTAGAGACCTCTGTGCTAAACATATAAATAGTGGTGACAAAACGAGGGAATAAGAAGTAAAGTCAAGTCAAGTGAAAGAAAAGTTTGGTCAGAGAAAAGTTAGAGAACATGAAGTTAGCTGTTGTGGGAGTGAGTAGCCTTAATGGTTGATACTGTAAAGTGAGATTAACAGTTTTATAGGGATGAGGAAAATAATTTATTTTGTCAAAGGGTGTTCTAAACTAATTGAACCCGCCTGTGTGAACTTTGACAAAAAGAAGACAACTATTAGAAGTTCAGGATACAACTGTGGTAACCCACAAGGCAGCATAAGTGAATTATACACTGATACTATTGTGAAAGAAATAGAGCAAAATAGTTCAGTTTGTCAACTAGATTCTAAAGCAACTGAATTAGCCTAAGGACTATATAGTGGTAAATGGCAATAGAAGAAGATGTGAACAACAACAAAAATAAGTAGGCCTATATATACACAACAGTAATGGTAGCAAAAATAGTGTAGAGATTACAATTACACAATAACCATGTCGGGCGATTTTGATAACTGGATAGAAAGAGGAGAGCGTCTCTGGTTAAAAGACAATGATCTACAAGAGTTTGTTAACAACAGTAAGAACTAGAGAGAGAAGAGCAGCAATAGAAGAGAGAGGAGGAGAGAAAAAGAAGAGAGGAAGAAAGACTAAAAGAAGAAAAGGAAATAGAGAGAGAGAGAAAATAAGAGCACAAACTGAGATCGCCAAGCTCACCCAACAGAAAGAAGAAGGACCCAAGAATGACAGTGGAGTCAGGGCCAGCCATCCCAAGGTGCCCAACTTTGATGAACAAAAAGATGACATGGATGCTTTCTGGGGAGATATGAAAGATTTGCCCAAAGTCAAAACTGGAACAAAGGTGACTGGGTAGTCTATCTCAGCCCACTTCTCGCAGAAAAAGGCCTACAAGTATATGCAGGCATGAAGTCAGAAGATGCCATGGATTATGACAAATTAAAAATGGCTTTGCTGAAACGATATTAACTTACTGGTGAAGGTTTTTGCTAGAAGTTCAGAGAAGTCAAATCTGACACTGGAGAAACTGTATTTCAGTTTGTGGCATGTCTACATCGATACTTCACGAAACGGACTGACATAGCCAAATGTGACAATAGTTTTGAGGGACTGGCAGACCTATTAGTATGGGAACAGTTCATGACCACGTGTTCAACTGACATGTCACTGTTCTCAAAGGAGAGAGCACGAAAAGATGTAGACAACATGATCAAGCTGATAGAACAGTATATGGAAGCTCATGGAGGCAGTATAACTGGCAAGTCCAAGAATATCCAGTTAAATTTGACCAGGAGCAGAAGTTTACTAATGGTGATAGGAAGTTAATAGACAAATGGGAGAAGAGATGCTATGTTTGTTATAAAATGGGACACATTGCAAAGGACTGTAAGTCCATCACCAACGAGCAACAGCAGAAACCTCAACATAAAGCAGCTGGAGCTATTTACAAAGATAGCACCAGTGAGAAACAAGAAAAGAGTGAATGCCACCATGGATGCTGCTGCCAGAAGTAACAGAATCAAGACAACTCATCAGATTCACCACAAGAATTAAGTGCCATTTCCATGATTGATCAGTGCATGACTGATGGTTGGTTGAAGTTAGTAAATGGATCAACAGTACCAGTAGTAATCGGAGCATGTTACAAATATCAAGAAGTGCTAACAAATCATAATATGCCAATATGTGGAGACCATGTCAGAGACAAGAAAGTGAAGGTTCTACGAGACACTGGGTGCAGTAGTGAGAACCAGTCCAGTATATGATGATCAGATGACAGGCAAAGTATGCCTGTGTGTGCTAATTGTCCCAGAACCCAGACAACATGAGATCAAGATGAAGACAAGGGATCCTATCAAGGTGAAGCCCTACTGGAGACCCTACGCTACCAGAGAGAGGCAAAGGAACTGTAGATGTTGGTGTAGATTATATTAGAAGACTTAGTATATGAACCAAGAACAGACTTTGTATATAGTTTAAAGAAAAATATTGCAAATAGTTTTCTTCAAGAGGGTTTTATTGTTGGACATACAACTGTTTAGTGTAGGCATTATTATATAATTTATTTTGTGAGTTAATATTTCAGGATTATTTTTTCTCATAACAGAGTTAAACCAATTATTTTAAAGGTGATAGTTATGACAAGTTTGGTTTACATAACTCGGTGAGAGTCGTATGTTGTGTTTTTAATTCATTGATGTTGAGGTTATAAAAATTTCTAGAGGCCTCAGTGATAAACATATATATAGTGGTGACAAAATGAGCAAGAGAGGAGTAAAAGAAAAGTTAGAAAATGTGAAGTTAGCTGCAATGGGAGTAAATAGCCTTAATGGTTGATACTTTAAAGTGAGATTAACAGTGTGATAGAGATAAGGAGAATAATTTGTCTTGTCAATGGGTGTTTTAAACTAATTGAACCTGCCTGTGTGGACTTTGATGAAAAGAAGACAACTATCGGAAGTTCAGGATACAACTGTGGTAACCCGTGAGGCAGCATAAGTGAATTATTCACTGATACTATTGTGAAAGAAATAGAGCAAAATAGTTTGGTTTGTGAACTGGATTCTAAAGCAAATGAATTAGCCTAAGTGGACTTTTGACAAGAAGAGAACTGTATGGTGTTTAAGATAACAGTGATTTTCTTAGTGTAAATAATTTTTGTACATTTGTTTAACTTGTTTTGAATATATATATTTACTATTCAAATTTATTGCCAACAAGTTGCAAGCACCTACTGTAGAAGAATCTTTAGCCCACACCCATTCATATACTTAAAACTCTGACAATTGAGCTAATTAAACTGCAGAAGTGTGTGTGTCTAAACTGGTGAATTTTGTATATAGTGGCTATATAACAATGTTAGTTCTTTAAATATGTGATTAATGAACTGTATCAACTAAGTATTGAATTTCAAAAATTCATTCTGCTGTTAACTACCTTTCAGGACTAAACATACCCACCGGTTCAATGGTGAATCTGCATGCTTATGACACTAAAAATTGAGTTTTGATACCTGTGGCAGGCAGAGCACAGATAGTACATTGTGTAGCTTTGTGTCTACTCTAATAACAACCGAGTCAGTCATGTTTAAATTTCTCCTACCTTTATCATAACTAATAAATCGGTTATCTTGTTTCTGTAGGTAAAGGAAGATCCTTGAAACTGCATCCATTGATTGACATGTCAGCTCAAATAGCTTCTGGAATGGCATACCTTGAGGCTCAGAACTACATTCATCGAGATTTGGCAGCACGAAACATTCTGGTGGGAGAAAACAATGTTGTCAAAATAGCTGATTTTGGTCTAGCTCGTTTAATTAAGGTAAGACTTTCATGAGCAATTGGAGAAACTTTTATAAATATCAGAATTTTCCAAGTACATGGAACATTTTAATCTAGCCAACATGGTTCCTTTTACTTAAATAGTTTTTTTCAGATTGAATTTCTTTAATGTTTAAGCTGTTACCTTCTTTACCTTATTGTGGATTTTATACTTTTAGGAGGATGAGTATGAAGCCAGAGTTGGAGCCAGGTTCCCTATCAAGTGGACTGCTCCTGAAGCAGCTAACTATAGCAAGTTTTCCATCAAGTCGGATGTTTGGTCTTTCGGTATTTTACTGACTGAACTTGTCACGTATGGTAGGATACCTTATCCAGGTAGATATGATAATCACAACATACAAGTGGTGATGTTTATTAACATTTAAAGGTGTACATGATAATAAAAACCTATGTCTCGAATCCTGGCAGAACGTTATGGTGAACTTTTCCAAATAACTCAAGAAAAGTCAAGGTGATCGAAGGTGTCACCATATCACAGCTTCAACACATCATTATGTAAACCCTTTCACAAGTGTATAGCTTCAACACATCATTATGTAAACCCTTTCACAAGTGTATAGCTTCAACACATCATTATGTAAACCCTTTCACAAGTGTATAGCTTCAACACATCAGTCATTATGTAAACCCTTTCACAAGTGTATAGCTTCAACACATCAGTCATTATGTAAACCGTTTCACAAGTGTATCGCTTCAACACATCAGTCATTATGTAAACCGTTTCACAAGTGTATCGCTTCAACACATCAGTCATTATGTAAACCGTTTCACAAGTGTATCGCTTCAACACATCAGTCATTATGTAAACCGTTTCACAAATTTATAGCTTCACATAATGTAAACTGTTTCACATGTTTATAGCTTCAACTTTTTAGTTCGCTGGTAGAAAGTCACAGAAAGCATGTCTAAAACCTTTAACTACTTTGGTTCAAACTTGTCTTAATTCTTCTGCTCTACCACACTCTTAAGCTTTTCCTTATGGCTTAAACCAGCATTATTCTGGTAGCTAACTCTTAATCTTTCCAACATATTAATAGCTTTCCTGTAGTAAGCGACTAAAAGTGCAAAAAGTACTCCAAAGGAAGTCTTGTACAAAGTTACAGTAGCTGTCTTGTTGTGAAATTTAAACTTCCTATAAATAATTCTATTTACTGGTAGAATCACAGTTAAACACTCTTTGCCATCAATCACAGCTAACCATATTTCATATCCCAGAACACAAATGCTCCTCTCTTACCAGGGGTAAGCTCTTTCCACATATCTTTACCCTGTGTGCATAACTTCACTTCTTTCAGTATTAAAGCTCATCTTCCATGTCCTGTGCTGATCACTAAGATATAAGATTGTTTGGATAAAAGAAGTATTCTAATCAGAATCATCTCCAAACCAAAAAATCCTGTTGTTGAAAAAGGCATTCAAACCATTAATAAAAGTAATGAACAAGAAATATGTTATAACAGATCCCTCGGTGACCCCAACCGGTGATGTTCTCCAAGTTATCCATTTGTCATTATGTCTATTTTCTATCCACATCATGGCCTTTTCACCAATCAAAGAAATATCAAACTTGATAATCAATCTCTTGAGGGTTGCATTTTGAAATCAAGGTAAACAACATCAACTGGGACATCCTCATTTAAAAAGATGAAAGTTGTATGGTAAAACTCAAATTGATCAGAATATTAAGTGTCTCCATCCATTTTCTCATTGTCTGCAATGTTGCTCCTAAACTGTTGTATAATTCTAATGTTGTGTTATCTGTGTTTTATGTTGTTCATTTCTAAAATCTATAAACAAAACAGAAACATCCTATAACATGTGGGGGGTACAGTTTTGGAGGTGTACCTCATTTCAGTGCATTTAAAACCGTTTTCTTTCACCCAGTAAATTATCGAGAGCTGTCATGCCCAACATTGACACAGCTAACATTATAGATTCTAAAGTTGAATTTCTAAAGATTATAAGAAAAACTAAGGTTCTATGTGTTTCATCCTTTTCAGGGATGACAAATGCTGAAGTTCTCCACCAGGTGGAGCATGGTTATCGAATGCCATGCCCACCAGGTTGCCCCATGGACCTCTATGAAATCATGCTGGAATGCTGGCATAAAGATCCCCTCAAAAGACCAACATTCGAAACCTTACAATGGAAACTGGAAGATTTCTTCACTCAAGAAGGTTCTGAATACAAAGAAGCATCTGTTGCATATTAAGGAAGACGTAACCTTTGGTGAAGGTGGTGATAGTTAAACCTGCTTTAATTGTCGACAGAGAGGATAAGGGCTTATAATTTAGGGTGACAATAGTGGGACATGTCTAACATTCCAGATTGTGGGCAATAGAGCATACAAAACATATTTTTCTGTTGCTTAAAACTATAGCCTGTAATATACTGAATATAACCAATCAAATGTGTGTATTCATTTGGTGTTACTTAATAAAATACAGTCAGTAATTGTAATGTAATGCGTATGGAACTATAGTCTAATATTAAAACTGTATATCAGACATAGATTAGGTTTATATTCAGTACCCATGTTTACATTTATTAACCAGAAATAGGTGATTTTGTGTAGCTATACTTAATTAATTACTAACAAATAGAAAGGTATCATTCAATGTGCATATTTGTTTCTCTGAAGTCTAACTCCATACAAATATTTTGTACACCTTCAGAGCATATGTTAACCCTAAAGTTATAATCATACATAGATAGGCACTGATAGCATCTAGGAAGCCTAATTCATTGTATGCAAACAATAAGTGTAGCTAATTTGGTAGGGAGATTTAGCATATGTTATTCAGTTGGTGCTTACATTTACCAAAACCACATATAAACTTGGCTAGGCCTATGTTTATGAAAAACCTTATTCATTATGAACACATGCGTAATCGGTAACTGTAAGAGAATGTTGAATAAACCCCTATGTTTATATTACGTTTGATTCAACAGAAGCATAAATTTATTAAATATTTCATTGTGTATGTTTATTAGGCTTACTGTAATGATAGTTTTTGGGATTTAGCCTCAGTGTAAGTAATCGTTAAACCTGTCTTGATAAATAGGTTTACTAGGCTGATCTCTTGAAGGACTTTAGATGCATGTTTACTGTGTGTGATTCATGTGACAAATATTAAACTAAATGTGTGAGTGTGTGAATATGCCTTTAAAAAATTAATTTATGTTTGGCCTAACTAATTATATAAAACCTAGTAAACGCATGAGACTTAACTGTAGTTGTTGGTGCAGGAAATTTAAAGCCCTTCCTTAAATTACCTGTGATAAAGAATATATTTATTTAGTAGAAATTCCCAAATAAAATGGAAACCCCATTACCTCTCTGTTCACATGGAAATTGTTTTATTTAACAGCTGTTGGTTTTGGTAAATCAGAATAAAATTTGTGAACTGTTAGGATTCTTTTCAACACAAATAGCCTATATTGCTTCCTCTCCATAAACACATTTCTTTCTTTTGTATAAAACTTGTTTTGTGTGTTTAAACATAGACAATTTCCTTGTGCACTGTGTTATTATCTAAACCTTACAGAACACACTAAGTTTATAATACAGCAGTGGACGTTTGCAGCTTAGCTTTAGAGTTAACCAGATGTCACTTGTGGATCTAAGGTTAGATATACTGAGTTTTATTTTCATCTCCACTTCAAAAGAACTGTTGTATTGTTGATTAACCATATTTTACTGGGCCAAATAATCTAACCCCTAATGCTTTGATAAATGTGATATTGACCATATGCAAAGAACAGGCTAAAGGTCAATGTAAGCAGCAAAGAACAGGTTAAAGGTTAACGTAAGCAGCAAAGAACAGGCTAAACGTCAATGTAAGCAGCAAAGAACAGGCTAAAGGTCAATGTAAGCAGCAAAGAACAGGCTAAAGGTCAATGTAAGCAGCAAAGAACAGGCTAAACGTCAATGTAAGCAGCAAAGAACAGGCTAAACGTCAATGTAAGCAGCAAAGAACAGGCTGAATGTCATTGTAAGCAGCAAAGAACAGGCCTCATGATTTGAAGATCTTGGGTTTGATTCTCACTAAACTTGCTTGTCTTTGTTCTTGTGTAGGCTACCAAGGCTAGCTGCCACTGTCACAAATTTTGAACTGCTCACTAGAGGGAACAAAACAGGCTGACAGCACCCACTATCAACTCTCTAGCTACTTAACTGTCAAATAAAGTGTAAATTTACTGTATTTTTACATTGTGTTACATTTGTAATTTATAATTGGGTAACTGTATTCTTTAATCTTTTATAAGTAGGCATAGATCTAGGGAGATGGACTCTGGGAGGGGGGTTCTCGATCCCCCCCATCCCTTTTTTCCACAAATTAACTGTATTCTTTAATATTGTATAAAAAGGAGTTGATTTAGGGGATCTGGACCCTCCAATTTTTCAGAATTATTAATTATAGTCTTTCATGGATCTAATGGAAAGTTCCATAGGATCAGGTTTTGTAAGTAGGCATGGATCTAGCCAGATGCCCTCACACTACTATATAGTATCAACAAGTTTTTTCTGATGTTTTTTTAAATCAACATAGCTGGAGTGTACAACAATCCAGTTACTGCATGAACCAATAACTTGGTATTTCTGAGTAATACAGCAATATAAACATCAATCAAATGTTGCCATGGTAAATTCTTTTCCTTTGTCTTTCTCCAGACTCACTAACAATGTGCAGCTCTTCTAACATAGACTTGTTCAAAATTGGATTTTCATTGTTTAAAAGTTAGAATGCTGATTAGAGTATTTGATCTTCATTAGAAAATATATAATGTATGTTTCTGTTTAGATTTTCATATCAATCAGTTTACTAGAAATAAAGATATAAGTTTTGAAATTACTGGATTATAACCGACTGAGATAATGGTTAACAGAATATGTTAACATTATTTTAACTTTGTTTTAATTACTTTAGGATTATATGGTCAATATTGATTACTCCACAATATTATATTATTATAGTAGAAATATCTTTCATGCAAAAAATACTGAAAATTTGGTTCCAATGTTAACGTTTAAAAAGTTAACTGTTATCACACCAACATTTAAAAATGATATATTACTGCAGCTAATGTAAATAATTTAATAATTGTTACTTGTTAATACAATAATACTTTTTATCTGAGTAAACGTTATAGTTTTATTCATATTCATTCCCTAATGATGTTATAACTTTGTAAGATAAGGTTGTATAATAATACTTCTGATAAGTATAAAATTAATTAATGTTATTCTGAGTTTTATGTTGTTGGACTTTAAATTTAGGCTACTTGCAGGATATCAAAAAATACTAGGTTATTACTTTGGCTAAGTACTCGTTTAGTTAATAAATACTGTCAGTTATGATCATTTATTTTCCTTGGTTAGTTATAGAGGGAGTAACTGTGTAGTTATAGATAGAACACTTAAGGTCCCAACATTGTTGTAAACATACTAGGTTATTACTTTGGCTAAGTACTCGTTTAGTTAATAAATACTGTCAGTTATGATCATTTATTTCCATTGGTCAGTTATAGAGGGAGTAACTGTGTAGTTATAGATAGAACACTTAAGGTCCCAACATTGTTGTAAACATACTAGGTTATTACTTTGGCTAAGTACTCGTTTAGTTAATAAATACTGTCAGTTATGATCATTTATTTCCTTGGTTAGTTATAGAGGGAGTAACTGTGTAGTTATAAATAGAACACTTAAGGTCCCAACATTGTTGTAAACATGATTATCACCATACAGGCTGTGGATGAAACCTTGTAATACGTCGCTTCAAGTGGATTGACCATATACCAAAAAAACAGCTTTGAAAGCAGTTATAAGTATAGCTTGAATATAATAAGACAGAGTAAGAATTAGACTATTATACAATAGTATAATAAATATATAGTTTTAAGAGGATGTTTTGTGAATATCTGTTTGAAAGAAAGTTTTATGTTCAATTAGAAGTTATCAGATAACTTGAGATATGGTAAGGTTATACAGTTAAAATATTGAACAAAGAAAACTATTAGAAGTTTAATACAGCAACAGATTTACAATGTTTGGAGAAGGTTTTGTCATTCTCACATATAAGTTGTTCCCCTAGAAACAGGAATATATATACAGTATGAAACAACAAAGTCACGCTTAAGGCTTGATATAGGTTTTAAAATTACAGTTTTTACTTTTTGATAGATGTACGATGGTTTTATTGAGTTGCAATATTTGTAAACGTGAGGTTTTTTTTAATCTTTATCAAATCAAATATGTTAAGTTTATCATTTAGTGAGTATAGTAGGCATCTACAAAATACTCAGTTCTTTATTGATTTTTATCCTAACTCAAACAACGTGCATAAATTGTCTAGCTGGCTACTTAATTTTTTCTAATTGCAATTGTGATATATTTTAAAAAAACTTACCTTTATCAGTGATAGTTAGTATTAGACAAAAATATGTTTGTTTTCCACAAATTACACAAATGATGACCTTCAGAATAAGTATCAAATATCACTTATTGCCCACCTGCTGCATCCTGTTATTTTATAATTGAATTAACAATACCATACCATAATGAAACTCTTCCATCTTATCAACTTGCTCCTGGTAACCCTAATTCAATCCTAGTATTGA